TTTAATTGAATAATATATTTGAATAATTAAGTATTTCTTTAGAAAAGATAAACATGTTGTATGTAAAAGAAAATTTATAAGAAAAATAGATTGTGATAAAAAGCAGAATTTCTTTGACAATTTATTCTGAAATAAAATACTTGTCCCAAGATAACCCTAACTACTGAGTGTTCATTGGAAAAAGAGTAAGAGAGTGACATATATTTAAAATGAAATGGAGGAGACAGCAAATAATTCAAGATCAGTTTTGTCATAAGAAATATCTAGTGAAAATGCTAGTGTTGAGGAAAATGATTCAAATGAAGGAGATTCCTTCATTTCACAAGATGAAAACTCAGAGGAATGTCCCAATTGTTTATGCAGGCCATTCATAACAAATGAAATGAACAGACATGTACAGTTGTGGTGGGAAAATGAAAATAACCCCGAACATGAACGGAATGCACATTTTAGAAAAGACAAGTATAAACGTTTTTGGACCAATTTGTTACATAGGGGAGTTTGAAAAGACCCTAGGTACTTCAATGTACTTATTGCGAAAGCGAGAGGCAATAAAAAGCTATTCTAGAAGACGTAAATGTGTATATCATTGCAGGGATTTAATGCCGTATTGTGTGATTGAGCTAGTGAGACAGTGGTTTCCAAACTTACCTGACAACGATACATAGGCCACATGTGGGAATAATAACTTAGAAAAAATATTAGTGCTGAATAGAAATATAATTAATTGACATGATGAATCATTTGGTGTTTGTATATTGGATGCTAATAGTTCTCCTGCCTCTAAGGTAAGCTGATTTGTTATTAGCAACTAATACGTTTTGTTAAGATACGATAATTTAATTTAACTAACTGTAATATGTGTAATGAACGTACCTTGCATCAATTACGGGATACAGATACTGCAGACCTTGGATTTCAATATAAAACTATATTTTTACTCGAAAAAAGTATTGGACGTTTTTCTCATCCTGCCTTTATATTGTAATGTCGAAACAGAACTATAACATTGAAAAATTATACATTTGAATCCGGGAAAGTTCTTGCATTTTTCAAAATCAATGATTAATTGATTGATTGTTTGTTGCTTGTTTTAACTGCCATGCAACAAATATTTCATGCATATTCAGAACGAGAAAAAAAAAATTAATGATGAATGCAAAAGATGTTTTTTGGGTTCTGTTAGCATGGTAAGGCAGGTGGACCGATATATAATTAAGGCTAGCAATTTGAGACCTCCACAGGAAGGGCAGACATTTTAACTTGCAATAGTATTGAGAGTTTTTGCAAAGGTTTTTTTACTTGCAGAAAGCCTGGCACTCATTCTACATGAGGCATCGAAACTAACGTCCTCTAACCGAACGGACGTGGCTGTGAACAAATATGCATCATACCAAACGAACGCCCCTTTATGTTGGACTTTATTGTCGGACGGGAAAAGTCCAGCGATCACCATAGCTCTATACCGAACAACAAAGCTAGAGGCGTAGTATATAAAAATTATAGATATAAGAAGATGTGGTATGATTGCCAATGAAACAACTCTCCACCAGAGACCTAATAACGTAGAAGGTTGGCAACTATAGGTCACCGTACGGCCTACAGCAATGAGCAAAACCCATAACGCATAGTAAGCTGTAAAAGAACCGGAAATGACAATTTTTAAAAAAATCAAACGAGAAAGCTAACGGTCTGATTTATGTACAAAACAATAAACGAAAAACATATATAATATACAGCAACAAACGACAACCACTGAATTACAGGTTCCTGACTTGGGACAGGCACATACAGAATGTGGCGGGGTTAAACATATTTGTAAGTGTACCAACCCTCCCCTAACCTGGGACAGTAGTGTTATATAGCAACAGAAGTACAAACGGTAAAAATCAGTTGAAAAGGGCTTAACTCATCAGATTGATACATTGCATAAAAACAACTAACAAAAACACAATGTTTTTTTTTCATGTATCTTAGCCTATAATATCAATCTGTACGTAACCAACTTCCAATGGATTTAGTGTAAAGATGTCATTAACAGTCAGAGAAAAACATGACCGTGTACAATGCCAAAATATAGGTATTAACAGATTGCAGGGGCCATGAATGTACATATGTGTATATCAATAATACATATTATCTTACCTCCTTTACATTTCTATGAATATGATTGGTTAAAAGCAACCGCGTGGAGACCGTGTATATTCCAAATTAGGTTAGTAGTGGTGTTACGTCCCTTTATAAAAACAACACGGTGTTGAGGAAAAATCTTGAAGGTTTCAACAGACGGTGAAATTGATGATGAACGATGGAAATAAATTCATAGAACACATTTAAAGCTTACAAGTTGTTATTGATGGCATTTGTTTTTGTATAGACCAATGGAAGTAGGTTCTTAATACTAACGGTATTGAAGACTTGATCACTTTGATAAGCCACTTTTCTAAATACCACATGTTAAGATAGTCGGTAAGATAAATTCGTTACATAGTGTGATAGTCACCCCATATATATCGTATTAGGTCACTATCACACTATCATGTAACTAATAATATTTAGTTGGGTTTTAATTTATTGATAACAAAATCAATATTCATACCGATGAAAACAATATTCAAAGATATCTGTTATCAGTGTATAATTGGTAACCTTTTAGAATATTAAGTTTATTAAAGGATTGATAAGTTTACCCAGATCGTATCTAAGTTTGCGGACTCGGTAAACAACATCACCAAAAATCGCCCCTTTTGTAGTAAATGTTTGTGTAGAGTTTCCCGTGTAAAACTGAATGTTCTTATCAAGTATTCTTTCTTCCGATAGGTTTACGATTTTAAATCAATACTGGCTTCTCACTTTCTCAATTTTATTTCTAGACTGTCTTTTTAACGTTTTTTTTTCGGCTCGGAAGAGTTTAGTGTTGGTTTGTGGTATTATCCAATATTTTTGGTAATCCTGGTTATCTTTTCTAAGCTTATATACTCTTAATTTAAAAATCAACGGAATGTATTGTAAAGTATTTATGAATATGTTTTCAACGAACATATGCATTATTATGATCAAGCGATAATTAAGAAAGAGACCGTGGTTTGGAAAACGTAGGCAAAAAAGACTATATCAATTTAAAATAAACTCGATTAATCGAACAACTTAAACTCCATTAAAAAGAAATTCTATATCCCGAACGTGTAAAACCTCCAACTCATCAGAGATGACACAGCCACCCTCCCCAACATCAATACCCCTCACCCATGGACCAACACCATTCCGTAGAAACATGAAATTATGCAAGTCTCCTTTCAATATACATGTAATAGTGCCCAATATTTCTTTTCAACCTGCAATATTTCTCGCGGGTATAAAAAATAAATAAATAAAAATTGTGTATGAAAATCAGGAAATAAGGAGATGTGGTATGATTGCCAATGAGCGAACTATCAATCAGCCAGAGACTGGCACATAAATAAAGTGGTGAGATTATAATTAGTTATCAAAGGTACCAGGATTATAATTTAATACGCCAGACGCGCGTTTCGTCTACGTTACGACTCATCAGTGACGCTCAGATCAAAATAGTTATAAAGCCAAACAAGTACAAAGTTGAAGAGCATTGAGGACCCAAATTCCAAAACATTGTGCCAAATACGGCTAAGGTAATCTATTCCTGGGATAAGAAAATCCTTAGTTTTTCGAAAAATTCAAAGTTTTGTAACAGGAAATTTATAAAAATGACCAAATAATTGATATTCATGTCAACACCGAAGTGCTGACTACTGGGCTGGTGATACCCTCGGGGACGAAACGTCCACCAGCAGTGGCATCGACCCAGTGGGGTAAATAGTTATCAAAGGTACCAGGATTATAATTTAATACGCCAGACGCGCGTTTCGTCTACATAAGAACCATCAGTGACGCTCAGATCAAAATAGTTATAAAGCCAAACAAGTACAAAGTTGAAGAGCATTGAAGACCCAAATTCCAAAACATTGTGCCAAATACGGCCAAGGTACTCTATTCCTGGGATAAGAAAATCCTTAGTTTTTCGAAAAATTCAAAGTTTTGTAACAGGAAATTTATAAAAATGACCAAATAATTGATATTCATGTCAACACCGAAGTGCTGACTGGGCTGGTGATACCCTCGGGGATTATTACATGTTTTTGATTATAACATGTTTTTGGTGGTCAACCCTACCCTAACATTAGACAGTGGTGTAACAGTCTTCAGATGATATCATGAGTGATGCACAATAGACCTTTTTTTCATATTACGGACTTTTGACTCCGGAGTTTGTATTTTTTCGACAGGTTACCTACTATGTGGTAAGACATCCTAATACTCGGTCAAGTAAGAGCAACGTAAAAAAGGAAAATCAAGCTTTTAATCGATACAATTTATGGGGAAAATTAACTGCTTTATATTTTCTTAACACGATCAGAAAACTTTCCCCTCAAATTGCACGGATTATGTGTTTGATTTTTCTTCTTTTGGTTGCTCTTACTTGACTGAGTACCAGGATGTCTAACCACAGAAAAGGTAACCTGTCGTAAAATTACATAATCCGGAGTCAAAAGTCGGTAATGTGAAAATATTTTCACAATATAAGAGGTTAAACGGTGCTTGATACTTTTAAGGGGTTTTATGCAAACGGAAGCCAGTTAAAAATACCGGCAATGCTTTTTAAGTTCCATTGGTTTGTACACTTTTTGGGTCGTATATAATTATTGTGTACAGGATCGTTTTTCATAACGATCCAAGTTCGCTTACGTTTTCATGCGATGTGGCAATCCCTAGGCATTCGATATATTTGAACTACGGTTTGGTTACTTACATGGTAATTAAAATCTAAACTCCACATTTTTTTTTTGTATTTGTTATAATAAATGATAGAATAAATAATTTTATTTGAATGACCAATACTGTTTAGTATATATAGACATTTCGGAAATAGTCAATTAACTTTTCATCGATATATAGTTTCACTATTAACAAACACAGTCACACAATGGTACAATAGGGAAATAAAATGTAAAATCATATAGCAAGTGCCATGAAGGGTTATCGGATTTTGTTATTTTTTCATATTATTGTCAAAGGTATGTATTTTTTTATGGTCCAAGGGCATATAGCTGTTACAGTACATATTGGAATCCAGGACCCTTGGAATAGAATTGGAATAGAAGAAACTAGCATTCTGATTTATACTCGTTAAAATTTCTAATAGTATTCAGGATATGAATGATATGTATAAAACCTTTAGTTAATGCATGCAACCATCAATACTTTATTACAATCAAAATCTCCATGGTAAAAAACATTATTAGTCTTTTGAAACGGTGAAGTAGTAATTACATATTTGCTGGAAAAAAATATAGTATCTTGTTGAGCAAGCAATTCTGGCTCTACAATATGAACAACAAATTGTACTACATTTTCCTGCACAGTTTCTGATAGAAAGCAACTGTCAGTGTTTTTTTCTCAAGAACTTGAATATGTGATATTTCCGGTAACAATATTTAAGTGGCGGATAGAACTGAATCTAGAAAAGCTCGTGTGAATTGTCACAATAAATTTTTATTTTGATTCATACAAGTTTTTATTACTAATTAATTTCATTATGAAATAAATCAATATATTGTTATTTTGTATTGTGCTTTTTTGTTATTCACTCTAGTACAATCGAGGATCCTCCTAGTATAAATCTGGATACACTAAATTTTGAATTAAAATGTGCACTAGAAGGATCCTGGATGGATCCGACTGAATTTAAATTCGTACTCAGTAAACCTAGTCGTAAGGCAATCTTTCTGGTTAAAAACGGTGTGTCACATCCTTATAATTACGGTATTGTTGTTTATAACGCCCGTCAGTTTAGAAATGATCCATGATCATGGCATGCAAACTCATCGATCCTTAATTTGCTATTTTAAGGTATATAATTATATAGTAGTAAAATCCTTGAATATAATTTTTTGTTCGCGGTACTAGCTTTGATTGTGTTTTTGATAAACTAAAAAATAGCTAAATGAATACAGAATGGAAACGGGGAATGTGTCAAAGAGACAACAACCCGACCAAAGAGACAACAACCCAACCAAAGATCAGAAAATACCCTAAAGCCACCAATGGGTCTTCAACCTAGCGAGAAACTCACGCATCTGAAGCGGGTTTCAGCTGGAGCCTAAACAATAATGTATGCTAGTTAAGCGAAATGGACGCAACACTAAGCTCCGAAACATACAAATGCTTGAACCAAAATTTATCAATTGTGCCCCTCGTTACAATATTTTGATATTTGGAATATACTGATAAATCTTTTCATAAACATACGAAATGCATAATTGTTTTTCTATCAAAACTAAAAATATAGGAAACAGTATTTAACTGATGTTCAAATCTCTTAAATTGATTTAAAAGACAAATCCAGGTAATAAACAAAAAGGAACGAGACATGATGCGTCTTCATGGTAAGTGTCTCCTGTTCCATGCATCACCACAGTGTACACCACCCGACATGCGAATCAAAACTCAGTGAAGATGTTACAATCGGTAAAATTACAGATAAGACGACTGTTCCGGTATCTTAAGATCTAAGACTCCGGAAGCAAGTCAATAAGAGAAACAGATATATCGTTTCGGTCAACCAATTTGTGATGATTATGAACACAGATTACAATCGTTCTTCCGAACAACTCTGTTTGAGCAGTTTTTGTGTAAGAAACATTATTTTATTCCTGCAAATGAAGTCCGTATAGCATGAACATCCACACGCGTAACGTATCAATTAAGATATGTAAACACCATACAATGAAGTAGAGGGTATGCTACTGCTGCGAAATGGGAAGTTAACATTTGGAAAGTTCAAATCATCACATTTGTCATATATTCTAGTTTTAAGTCGTCCCTCTGTGTCAATATCGAGTAAAAATCAATATATATGATGCAGACCTTCTAGTCTCGGTAGTATCCTTAATCTCAAATTAACGGTGATATATGAGATGCAAGCACTCACTAAAATGTGGGTTATTGAGTGACATGACATTATCAATATACATGTTTCTGAATAAAAAATTAAAGAAGTCTGTAAGATGTATTTTTTTCTTTCATGAAGGTTTTGAATGGATTTTGATTCATATGAGTACGACATTAAGTCGGTCAGTAGGGGTGCACAATAAGTACCCAATAAAATACCGACTGTCTGTTGAAATATCAAACCACAAACGAAACAAATAACTTGTCAAGCATTTTGATGGTATCTTGTTTGGTGTATTTACTTTTGGAATCAGTGCAGTTCTTCAGAAAGTAAGATTTTCATGACTTAAAAAAAAACCTTGTATCTACGATTCCCATTTTGTAGAAAAATACCGGTTTATTCAGTCTTTCAATTGAGCATGGCATGGGGCATAGTAGTATAAAGCGTAGAAACAGTTTTGATATGACTGCAAAATTATAAAGAATGTGATCGAAGATTTTGCAGCAGATCTTCAATACTAGTATTAAAGAAACCACTTCTGATTGACCCGATAGTTGAATACACCTAAGGACGAATTTATGATTTTCTAAAAAAAAATCTCCTACTTTGTGAATGATCAAGGGGTATATGTGAGATTCCAAGTTTTTCTGTGAATTCCAAGTTCTTTAGTTAGACATTCCAACTACTGATTTTTGTATAAAAAAAACCCAACAGTTTCAAACTAAGTAAATAAATAAATGATTAAAAAATTTGGTAACGTTCTGAGGTTGTTGTTGCTTTATTCTATCTTCACTTCAAATATGTCGTTGTTCCAGCAGACAGCTTTAAAAAAATCGTTTTTAAAGAATTTTAGAAAATCACAAATTCTTCCTTCTCCCTTTCGTATTAACTTTTTAAAGGGTCGATAAAAATTTCCCGTCATTTTTTTTAATATTTTTTTGTTTGCAGAAATCCATTTTTTAACGATCGGCGTCCATAGCTTTACAATAATGGTGACTGCAAAATAAGTCGGACCAAATTAGTCAAAAAGTTTTAGAGTGTAAAACTTGATGTTAGAATTTTAATATATCCTTTAATTATATATTTCATCTTCGATCAGTCTTTATCTTATAGTCATGATGATAGCTTTGACAAAGTTGCATACAATCGTTTTTAGAAACGAGGTCATCTTGTACGTCACTCAACATTGAAGTCCCTCCTCGCGACTCCGAAGCGCTTTTCTGGATTAGACTAAATCATTTCTATCTGATTTTGAAAATAGTTGAAAACATAATATATAAGATCTTGTTGAAAAGATTTTGATTTCTCTTTACTGTTACTTTTCATAAAAAAAAACAATAATTGAATAATTCATTTATTAAAAAAATTCTTATATGCATTTCATTATGAAATAAAAAGAAATTGCAATAACTTTATTAAGAATAATAGATGAACTTGATAGGAGGTCTCTATTTTTATCTTTTTCTCTCTGTTGGAAACATTATATCAACCATGATTCCATATTCTAAATTGAATTTTCTTTGCAGTAGACACCACTACCAATATAAAATTTAAATTATCCTTAACTGAAGTTCAACCTGATTTCAGAACTGTCCATTTTAAGCTCGCCGGGCCCACTAATTAGCTTCTCTCATCTCTTGGAGTCCGTTCTCCGTCGTCGTTAACTTTTACAAAAATCTTCTCTGACACTTCTTGTCCAAATTTAATCAAATTTGGCCAAACCAAATTTGGCCACAAACACTATTAGGGTATCTAGTTTTAAAAAATGCTTACTATGACCCCGCCTGTCAACCTAAATGTACGAAATGGCTATGAATAGAAATAGGGGTAAAGTGCAAATTTTTTCTATTATCTTGAAATTGCCCTTAAATGATCTTTTTTACCCTTTTTGGAGATTAGATCAAAAACTAAAGACGATTGAGAGAAACTGTAAACAGAAAAATGATTGCCAATACAAGATCAATAAAACAGAGACTTTTGTCATTAATTCTATTCTAGTTCACTATATATATTGGAGAGTCTCCTTTGCTAAAGATGCACATAGACCTAGGTAAACGACACAGGCTCTTTAGATCCTCTATTTTGAAAGCTAACAAAATTGCAGTTATACATCTTTGGCTTTCACATTTTGGGGATTCAGCGTTCCTGATGAAAAAGAACAAACAAATTTATATAAATTATCTATATAAGTTAATTTAGTTTTTTTAAGTATAATGTTCATTTTGCAGTTGCAAGTTCCATAAACGAACCAAGGGTAAACATCACCGTAGTGCGAGATGAAACGATACTTCTTCAATGCAGAAACAAGTCAGGCAGTGATGATGTACAGTGGATCCGGGTCAACGAAAATCCTCAAGATGGTAATGCCTTCACAACGACATACGCCATTGATAGGAAGATAAATCAAAAACTGACTCACCACGACAGATTGAGTATCGTTGGAGAATACACTTTGGAAATATCAAATGTCACATTTGGAGATTCGGGTTTATATTGCTGCATAGTTACACGTGCTAACGCAAACCTGTATTCCTACATTAATGTAGAAGTAGATGGTAAGTCTCTCTCTCTCTCTCTCTCTCTCTCTCTCTCTCTCTCTCTCTCTCTCTCTCTCTCTCTCTCTGTACTTGTTTACTATGATTGAGGAACGAGATGGTAGACGCACATATTCATTTACGTTCTATTAATTTTGTATCACTCCTTCCTTTCCTCCTTTGACTGTCTATACAGTTATTTCGACAGATATCCAATTGTATTTATTGGTAGGAATATAAGTCAACATTGGGCTCACCACGACAGATTGAGTATCATTGAGTATCGTTGGAGAATACACTTTGGAAATATCAAATGTTACATTTGGAGATTCGGAATTATATTGCTGCATAGTCAAACGTGCCAACACAAATCTGTATTCCTACATTCATTTAGAAGAAGCCGGTAAGTCTCTCTCTCTCTCTCTCTCTCTCTCTCTCTTTCTCTCTCTCTCTCTCTCTCTCACAGTTTTAACCTCTATTTTAGTCTGTATTAGAACTCTTCTATGTAACAGTCTGTAGAACAGTTCTCCTGACACCTCTATAAAACATTCCCACTCTGAAGCGGTTATACCCTAAAACAGTTTAAAAATATTTACCTTAGTACAGTCAGTTTGTACAGTTCTACCATAGAACAGAATACGACATTTCTACCCTTATTTTTATCTATATTCTTTCTTTCTTATATATATTTCGGACCATATTATTTAGTATTTGGACCATAATCGCGCATCGTCATAACCATATGCGTGTACTCATATGGTCCAACGATACGGGTATGCACGGGACCGTATGTGTATGTACTCGTTTGGTAATCAACCGGCCGGACCATAAGAGTATTTGGACAATATAGGTATTTTTCTAATAAACATGAGAAACGTTAACCAATTATCTATGATCATTTATCCTACTCGTGTGCTTTTTTCAGCAAGTAAGAAACCAAACAAATATGTTCAGGAAACAAAATATAACTTAAAAGATTATAAGATGCGACGACAGCAACTAAAATAAAAAAGAAGATGTGGTATGATTGCCAATGCGACAACTCTCCACAAAAGACCAAATGACACAGAAATTAAAAACTATAAGTCACCGTACGGCATTCAACAATGAGCAAAGCCCATACCGCATAGTCAGCTATAAAAGGCCCCGAAATGACAAATGTAAAACAATTCAAACGAGAAAACTTACGGCCTAATTTATATATATATGTCAAAATAATGAACGAAAAAAAAATATGTAACACAGCAACAAACGACAACCACTGAATTACAGGCTCCTGACTTGGGAAAGGCACATACAGAATGTGGCGGGGTTAAACGAGTTTGTTGGCGCCAAACCCTCCCCCTTACCTGGGACAGTGGTGTAAAGGCACAAGATAAGAACAAACTATGCAAAACAATAAACGAAAAAACAAATATGAGAAACAGCAAAAAAAGACAACCACTCAATTACAGGCTCCTGACTTGGAACAGGCACATATGGAATGTGGCGGGGTTAAACTAGTTTGAAGGCGCCAACCATCCCCTAACCTGGGACAGTGGTGTAACAGTACAACTTAAGAACAAACTATAGAAATCAGTTGAAAAAGGCTTAACTCATCAGATGGATACAAATAGAAATACATCTAACAAAAACACAGAGTGGACGTGGACGGGTACTTATACATCCCCACAACAAAAAGACACTAAGTACAGATCTGAGAGTACTTGCAGTTACTGACAGCTAGTTCAAAGCCAATAACAACTAATAAAAAAATCATGCATCTAAGACTAAATTATCAATCAGTACACATCCAACATCCAATGGATTTTGTGTAAAGACGTCATAAACAGTCAGAGAAAAACATGACCTTGTGCAATGCCAAGATACAGGTGTCGACAGATTGTAGAGCCATGAACGTGCATATGTATATAACAGTAATATTTAGTTTGATTTAAATTTACTTTAAAACAAAATCAATAGTAATACCAATAAAAACAATATTCAAAGATCTAATTACAGTGTTGAATTGGTAACCTTTAGAAATAAGTTTATTTTAAGGATCGATAAGTTTACCCGGTTAGATTCTCAATTTCCGGGCTCGGTAAACAACATCTCTGTAAAAATGAGGATGTGCTATCCCATTTGAAATAAGTTTTCAACAGGTTCAACCAAACTTCAAAACCAAATCTTTATATCTATGGAAGAATTTAGTAAAGGTTTTAAGTAATTTGTGGTAACGAAATTCCTGACTAATAAATTTACCAGTAATACAGAGATTATGTTCATTGAAATCTGAAACGTCACAACAGGCACGGGCATAGCGAACGAGTTGTGATATATAAACACCGTAATATGGTGCCAAAAATGGAAGATTAACAGTAGGGAACAAAAAATCGTCTCTTTTGTCGTAAATTTTAGTGTAGAGTTTCCCGTGTAAAACTGAAATATCTAAATCTAGGAAAGGACAGTTATTACCGTTTATATTTGATTTATTTTGGGTAAATTTCGGCTGTATATTTAGAAAATTCTTGATTATTTAACGAAAAAATATCATCAAGATAATGGTAAGTGTTGTTGAATTTATCAATTAAATGCCATTTAGACGGGTCTTTACTGAGTTTGGTCATAAACTGTGATTCATAACAGTACAAGAACAAGTCTGCTATTAAAGGGTCGCAATTGGTGACCATAGGAATACCTACAAACTGTCGATAGACTTTATCGACGAAACGTACATAAATATTATCAAGGAGAAAATCTACAGCTTCAATCATCCCATCACACCTCCAGTAAGTATATCTAGCATATTTACCTTTCTCATTAGAGAAGGCTTCAAATGAGCTGCAGCAAATATATTTGCATTCAGATTTACCAAACGACCATTTAATTAAATAGGATTACTTTTGTTTGATAAGATGGCGTGGAAGTGTATGGTAAAGAGTTGAAAAGTCAAAACTGTCAACAGAATCAAAAGAACCATCAAAAGCACGTTATTTATCTAAAACATCCAAAGAATTTTTTACACTAAAAAATAGTTAATTCTACTATTTTCATATATTTTATTACAAAAGTTAATGATAAATTCTTTGATAGACTGTAGTTAAGGAACTAGTTAAAAGCACTGAAATATTAGTTGTACAACACTTACTAGAGGCCGAGATGAAACGATATTTTACTGGTTTTTTGTGTAATTTAGGTAACCCATACATAGTAGGGAACGGCCGTGCAGTATTTACGGCATACCACCACCACATTGTTGGCTGCTTTGTCGGCCGGTACAAACACAAAACGTTTTGAAAGTATCTGAAGTTTGTTTCTTAATCTAGGAATAGGCGTATTATGTACTCTTATATTTATTTCTGAATTTTTTTCAAAATGTGATATTCGAATATCCACAACATTCATACATTTATTTAAATAAGAATCAAGAGATTTTTTATCAGATTTTTCCCGTTTACACCATTTTTTACAAAACGATGAAAGAGCGTCGTTTGTGACCTGACGACATTGTTTCCAATCTATTTTAGATGGAAGACGATATTTTGGTCCTTTTTTCAAAAAGTTTTTAATCTCTGAGTCTTGAACGATATTGAGGTCCCTCGTATTAACATGATGGCCATGGGGATCATATCTTAAATTCGACGATTCACAGTCTCAAGTTAGAGGAGTATTAATTTCTACATTGACTTCTGATGTTACTGACGTATAATTAAAAACTAAACTTCTGCTGATTGTTTTGTATGTATACGAAATAATAGGTGGTTCTGTGTTATCAAAATAGGGAGGTATAAAGTTTTGAATGGTAGAGTCATTAACTATACTCGATAAGTTGATGAAATCAATACCTCTGTTAATATATTTAATTTTCAGAAAGTGCCGTTTATGATCTTCCCGTTTATCGATACGCGGGAACAGCCTATTGAGGCAAAAAGCTGTAATTATACGCGAATATTCATAGATTGGGCTGAAGAACGAGATTGTGTCAAACTCCTTGAAAATATCATGTATTTTTCATAATTGGTATTTGACCCAGTTTACATAATAATTGAAGCTTACCATTGTTTTGAAATATAGATAGGAGATCATCAAGTGTATAATTTATACGATGTTTAATTCGTTGATTTCGATTGATACGTTTGCCACGAGACCTATATTATTACGTTGTCTTTTATCAACAATATTCATTATATCCATAGAAGAGGTTTTAGATATGTTCCCTTGTCCCAGTATATTGTCATTTAGACCCAGGGGATATGCTGTCTGCAGTCGTTTAATCCAAGACAGTTCGATAATTTTACGGGAATCTTCAAATTGTTTATGCGATTGCGCTTGTTGTTTCTGGATCGTTTCGAGTGGTTGGATTCTTATACATTTAATATTGTGATTGTGTTTACCTAAATGGGGCAATATGCGTAATTGATTTTACATAGGGGGTAATGGTAACGTTTTCCTCTGTAGCACAGTCCATATCGTAAACTTGGATATGCATGATGGCTCATTTCGAAGCTGAGACATTTTCACATATGTGGTTAAATTTTCGGGGTACGAAGTGCGATTCATTTTTCCGTATATTAGCACACCCCGAAAATCCTTTCGTGATGTGGCTCCTGGTGGTAAAAAAATCCCTTTTTTCACACAATAAGTTCTTTGCTTTGCATACATTTAATAACTGCATAGTTTTTACACATTTATTCTATGGTCCTCTACTTTTCAAATCAACACAAATGGTTAAGCTCAGTCACTTGTTAAAAATAGAAATCACTACACAGAGATTTTTTTGTTTACGCACAACTTTTGTGGTCCTCAATTTGAGGCGCATTAGGGATATTGACCCAAATGTTGTTAAATTATACTTTTCAATTTCTTAGGTTTTCGGAAGCGGTATAGATGTTCCTGTGTTCGTTTAAAAAATTCCCGTCCTGTTTGTCCTACATATATATATTGTATACCACACTTTGGCTTTGTTCAAGTAACCAGATAAATGAGGCTTTCAGTTTTTAATGTAATGTCACAGGAAAAGGAAAGCGAAAAAGCTCTCC